CTCACGCCCGTCAGTCAGACCACGCCCTTCAGCCACTCGTCGCTGCATACGCGCCCGATGTTCAGCTCTTCGTCGCCTTCGTCGTCCCCTGCGTTGACAACTGCTAAGCAGCCAACCCTGTTCCAAGCTCAACCATCGCCCTTGGGCAACCCGCCGCTGCAATCGCGCCCGCTGCTTGGCTCTCCGTCGTCTTCTGTGTTGACGCCTGCTAAGCAGTTTACACCGTACCAGGCTCAACCGTCGGGCTCGTCGCTCTTCAGCAACTCGTCACCGTACTCGTGCCCGATACGTGGTTCCCCAGCGGCTTCTTCTGCACCCACAACCGCTAACCAGCTCCCGCTATTCCAAGCGCAACAACCATCAGGTTCGCCGCTCTTCAGCAACTCGTCACCGCACACGGCACCCATTCTTGGCACTCCGTCTCCTGCACCTACGCCCGCTAACCAGCTCAGACTGCTCCAAGCGCAACAGCCGTCAGGTTCATTGCCCTTCAGCAACTCGTCGCACGCGGGTCCAGTTTTTGGTACTTCGTCTCTTGCACCCACGCCTGCTAATCAGCTTATGCTGATCCCCGCCCAAGGCAATGAGCATGACGCGGGCATGGGTGTTCAGATCAAGCAGGAACCCGACTCGGACGATGACAACGTGGGTGCTCCGGTCAATCAGGAGGACGACGTTACCCATGTTATCACGGGTGTTCGGATCAAGCAGGAACCTGGCATGGACGATATCAACGTGGATGGGCCAAGTACGCAGCAAGACATGCAGTCAGCCAAGCGCGAGGCGAAGACCGCCAAGCGAAAGAAGAAGAAGAAGGAAAAGCTGGAGAAGAGAATCGACGAGCTCAAAGAACGGTACATGAAGGATCTCGGCATTACCGACATGCATCAGAAACGTCCGCGATACAAACTTCGAAAGCACCGTGTCATGCCATCATACAGAAAACTGCGTGAGGAAGCAAGCGCGGAGATAGTCATGGAAACCGCTCGCATTTATGCCGAAAAGAATAAAGCGAAGCACAAGGGCGGACTGGACGGACTGGATGGGCTTGGTAAGAGATTGAAACGCCGGATCCTTATAATTCAAGAGCAGCGGGACTTGGCCGCACTGGAGCGTTTGAAAAGTGAGGCGAAATTCAACTTTATGTCTCAGAACGAGAAAGACGCATTCCTCTTGGCCAAGCTCTGCAATCGCTGTGGTGCATACCACAACAGCGATGGGTGCACAATCCTCGATCGCGAAAAGATTGCGAGGCCCAGCAAAAGGAGTCTTCTTGCTAAGACTAGAGACTTCAGGTTGGAGGAATTGAACGAGATGAGGATGCGCGAAGACATGCACAGCCTGAACGAAGGCGTGCTCGGGATGGACTTGAAGGAGCAGTATCCGCTCCCCGACTACGATGTTTCCCACCTGGACCTGGAAGCGAAGTGGTAAGTTTGTCATTCTCATGCCAGTTTCCGTCAAACTAATTATCTTGTGAAAGATACTCGCTCAACGGCAGATTGATGCAGCTTGTTGGATGTTTGGTGCTGGAAACAAGGTACAAGGAGCGATTGATTAGGCCAGGTTTGTTTTTGTCATGGAGAGTTATGGGCACGTCAGGCTACAGTAGATTCTAATCGTAAACCGAGTAAAAATCACGACTGAGGTTTATACAAACTCCATTGCGAAACTGTGATTTTTGCTGCGTCAACCAGATGAACAAATCTTGGTAGTAGCAATGGACTTTAGGGGTAGGCTAGCTTGACAATGGCCAATGAGATGCTGGCTTAACTTGCCAGATGCTTCCATGCCCAGGTGTTGGCGGTGAGTGCGCGTGAAGTGAGGTCGGTTGATCTTGGCGGCCTCCCGGGGCTGATTTTGATTTTGACCGAGCTGCCCCATCAACGGATCTGTCCTCTTCGCCGCGCCTCTCAACCACTTCATCCTCGCGCCCACTCCAGCCCTCCCGTCTGTACCCTCAAGCTTCCTGCAGTCACACCGGCCTCGGCGACAACAACACCGTCAAGATGGTTAACCCTCAGATGTATGTCGCGCAAACGCCGTTTGACCATGTGTATTCAGTTGCTGACATGCGCCTTGCGACAGTACCAACCTTGCCATCATCTTGTACGCTCTCCCGACGATGCTATCGGCGCCGCGTTCGCCCACTAACGTGCCCATAGGGTGATGATGCAGGTGTCCAAGAAGATCCCCTTCGATGACCCGGCCGTCCTCAACGGCGTGCGCGCGCTGTACCTCGTCTCCAACCTGATAATCACCTGCATCTACCTCTACGTGCAGTCGCAGATCAACAAGAAGAAGGGTAGGCACCAGCCGCACGCTCAAGGGCGCAAAAAGAACACACTAGTAACACCAACGCAGACATGACGGTCCTCAAGTACGTGGAGCCAGCGCAGCCGGGCAGCGGCGAGGAGCCCAAGGCCGTGACGACGACGGTCCACGCGTACGACCTGCAGCAGCTGAAGTCGCTGTGGAAGGCGCAGGTCATGGGCGTCGGCATGATGGGCGTGATGCACCTGTACTTCCACTACACGAACCCGCTCCTGATCCAGAGCATCATCCCGCTCAAGGGCGCCTTCGAGGGCAACCTCGTCAAGGTCCACCTGCTCGGCCACCCCGCCAGCGGCGACCTCAAGCGTCCCTGGAAGGCGGCTGCTGGCCTCATGGGCGCGATGCAGGGCGGCGAGATCAAGACGGACAAGAAGAGCATCGAGCAGGCCGAGAGGGCTGGCCGTGGCGGCGCCAAGGAGGAGTAGACTGCTCCCGATTGAGCGGGCCGCGTATGCTGCATAGCTATGCTGGATGAATAATGGGGATGAACCTAGACAACATGGCTTTGTTGTCCATTTGAAAAGTAGATGGCTTCCGAGCTTCAGGGGAAATACAGCCAACTTTGGCCTCATGATGCGTTGTACATGATGACACCATTTGAGAAATTTGCTACTGCTATCGTTCTTATCAGCTGCAATCCTGGGGTCACGGTCACCGTGTCACTTGCGGCGCCAGCAGCTGATCCCTGCCATGAGCCCCGTTGAAATTGACAAAGCACGAGATGCGGAGGCACCAGGGTCCGAGATCCCGATCCGAGCGGACTCAACGTCATCCCAGACCCTGAAGTCAGCCAGCTTACCTATCTTAGGGTAGGCACCCACCTGTACTCCTACCTACTTCTCACCTACCTACACCATGCAGCACAACACGCCACATGCATACACAGGCGCAAACCCGCCAACTGACCCCAAACCGCACCAAACCAAACCACAACAACAATGCCGCCCCGCCCCAGCGCTCCCGCAAACGTAGTGACCATCACCGCGCTCGCCAACCTCCCCAAGCCCGCGTCCGCGGCCGCTTCTCCCCCCGCGCACTGGGCCCACCTCGACCACACCGGCACGCGCCCCCTCTCGTTCCAGAACCCATGGCCCTCGTTCCGCAAGACGCACGGCCTGGCCACAGCGCTGCACGCGCGCTTCTGGTCGCCGACGCGGAACTTCGTGCCCGTGCCCACGAGCCGGGAGGAGCTGGTGCCAGTGCAGACGCCGGACTGGGGCCGCGGCGACAGCAGTGCTCTGGACAAGCTGAAGGCGGCGTGGATCGGGCATGCGAGTTTCTTGGTCGAGACGAGCGCTGCGAGTAAGAGGGACAAGAGAGGCGTGACGCTGTTGCTGGACCCGGTCTTCTCGGAGCGCATGTCCCCCGTCGGCTTTCTGGGGCCGAAGAGGTTCACGCCGCCGCCGTGTGCGCTGCAGGACCTGCCTGAGGTCGATCTCGTCGTCATCAGCCATAACCACTACGACCACTTGGACGCGGCGACGGTGCGGTTCCTGCACCAGCGCGGGCAGGGCCGGGTAAGGTTCCTGTGCACGCTGGGCGTGAAGCCGTGTCTGACAGGGATGGGGGTAGGGGAGGCAGAGGTGGTGGAGCTGGACTGGTGGGAGGGCGTCCGAGTGGACGTGCACGGCGTGGGCGCCGTCAAGCTCGTGTGCACGCCCGCGCAGCATTTCAGTGGCCGCAGCCTCTGGGACGCGGGGAAGTCGCTGTGGTGCTCGTGGGTGCTGGAGGAAGTTGCGGAAGCGCCGGAAGAGCGGGCTTGTGGAACGAACGACACGCGCACGCACGCAGAAACAGCAGCAGTGGCGCCGCCATCGTCGCGCGCGCTGAAGAAGCTCTTCTTCGCCGGCAAGTTGCCTCCCCCTCCCCTCCCCTCCCCTCCAAGCCACCCAAATCCCACGCACCCAAACTAACCCCCCCACGCAGGCGACACCGGCTACCGCACCATGCCCAGCGACACGCCCCTCACTCCCAACTCCCCCAACCCACCCCCGCACTGCCCCGCCTTCGCCGAGATCGGCCATGCCCACGGCCCCTTCGACCTGGCGCTCCTGCCCATAGGCTGCTACTCGCCGCGGAGTTTCATGTCGCCCGTGCACTGCTCGCCGGAGGACGCGCTGTGCGTGCACAGGGATGTGCGCAGCAGGAAGAGCGTGGGCATGCATTTCGGCACGGTGAGGGGCGGCATTAGCGAGTTTTATGAGGATGTGAGGGAGCCGGGTCGGTTGTGGCGGGAGGGGGCTGAACGGGAGGGCTTGAGGTGGGGTGAGGAGGTGGGGGTGCTGGGGGTTGGGGAGGTGGTGGGGGTTTAGGTTGGGGGGTTGGGTTGGGGTGAGTGTGGGGGTTTGTGGGTGTGCTGGTGCGGTGCTATGGCAGAGCGGTTCTGGGTTGGGAGTGGCTTGGGGCGATGGTATTGGCTTTCTGGTGGCTTACGAGTTTTATTGAAGTATGTCCTATCTCATGTATCCAAGAGATTAGAGTCTATTCGATTATCTGAGTGTTTAGTGATGAGTTGTATCTTTATTCTCGTCTTCTTCGAGATTTCCCACGCCAGCCTTGCAAACTCACATGGCTGCTGGCCTTATCTTTCTAACCTGTGGTAGTAGTACGGTGTAAGTAGTAGATCCAGCTCCTTATTATCTAGCATGATTCGCGGATGACTGACATTGGACAAAGACCATCTCGCTCTCCAGATTTAGCAAACTCCCTATTATATGCCTGAAAGGTCTCGTAGGTTCTTGATGCTTCCTTTGTGTATGCTGCAGCCCAGGGTTGGAGTTTGTTTGGGCCGACGATATGATTTATTGCCCGTAGGCTGCCCTTCTAGCTCCCGTTCCTTCCCAATCTTCCCCGTCTGTCTATGTTAAAGGCCTCTAAAAAGCATTGCGTTGACTGGCGGTGTGCCCGACCAACCGCCCGAGTACTTAAACTCTTCCACTACACTTTCCCACCATTGCCCGACCATCTTCCTTTCACGTCCACAACCTCAAGCTCTTTACAGCCTTGCCTTCTTTGGCCCTTGCCAACCGTTCCAATCACTTTCTGTAAGTCTCTTTCATCCGATCCGTCGCAGTCCCGTCCACTCCCTCCCCTTCACTGAACCAAACCCCCCAACTTCACTTCACGCAAGCAACTAGCCGCGACCTCGACGTCACGGCTCTGCAAAGCCACGCAAATCCCACCCTCACTCTCACCCCAAGCAATCCGTCACGCAGCTTCTAACCACACATCAGACGCATAGCCAACGCTCAACCCACCATCTCAAAATGCCGAACATGCAGTGGAACCACGAAGCCGACGCAAAGGTAGGTACCTCCAGCACCCGCACCACCTCACCCCTCTCCCAAGCACTCCAACCCCGCTAACAACATAACGCTCCAGCTCCTAGCCGCCATCCTCAAAGTCCACAGCTTCAGCGTCAGCTACCAAGCCCTCGCCGAAGAAATGGGCCAAGGTAAGCAAGCTCGCAAACACCCTCGCTCTCACTTTCACCCCTCCCCCATCTCCACCTCCACCCCCACGCCCGTCCTTTCAGGATCCACCCACGCACCCACCCAGCCAGACAAACAGACAAACAAACAACTAACACAACCCCCCAACCACAGACTGCACCCCAAAAGCCGTCACGCACCGCATCGCGAAGCTCAAGGCCATCGCCAAGGGCAGCGGCAACACCAGCGCCAGCGCTCCCTCCACGCCGCGCAAGCCCCGCACCCCCGCCAAGAAGGGTGCCACAACGGACAGCAGCAAGAAGCGCAAGCGCGGCAGTGGCAGCGTCGTCAGTGGCAGCGTGGTCGCTAGCATCGAGACGGATGGCCCCGGCGGCTTTAAGGCGGCGCAGCACACGTACGATGAGGACGACGATGATGACGAGGAGCTCCCGGTCGTTAAGCGCGAGAAGAGCGATGCTGAGGGGGAGGAAGATGCTGCTGCTGTTTATGCGGAGCGCGTTTATGGTGATTACGCTGGTGAGCTCGATATTTAGGGTGTGGGAGTGATGGGGGGAGTTTGGAGTTGGTGCGGTTGCTGGGTGCTGTGCTGTGCAGTGCAGTGGGGTGCTGCGTCTTGACTGAGCCTCGGGGTACTCCTACCGTATGGATGCTTTACCAGGGAGGTTGGCTATATATCAGGGGCCGTGGTGGTGGCGTTTCTGACTGGGGGTTGTTTAGACGGAGGGGGGCTTCTTTTTCTGCTTCTTCTTCTTCTTCTGCTCTGCGAAGGCGAAGGTTTTCCCTACTACGCGTAGGTATGCTCATACTTCATGACTGCGGATCGCTGAATGGTAGCAGGGTTTGGCATCGAGTTTCTTGCTTCCTGGTTTGCTGTGCGTGTGGGGTTTTAGAATGGTCTTGCTGTCTGTTTCTCAATGAAAAATGCTCCTCAAAATCCAGTTCTGTAAAACCCCGTGATAAGATTTTACAATCACAAACTTGAAAACGAGCACTGATGAACCCACATACGCCCTCAAACGTCATTCATATCGGGCCTGCACCACTTGGCCTGTGGAAAGACAGCTTGGCGATTGACCAAGCAGCTTCCCTAGAGGTGGTGGAGCGAAGGAAGATGCCGACGAGTTTCCCCGGCAGGCCTGAGATTTCGAAGCCCCAGATCGCGGCTCCGCAACATACTTCCCAACCCAAGACCGGATCTCGGGGAAATGCATGCATGCATGCACGCAGGTCCGAAAAAGACGCGGAATAAATCCACGGTGGCTTCTGAGGCTCTGCTTGCCTTGTCTTGAACCACGGCACGACGCAAGGAACTTTACGCACGGAAGCGGCCGGCGCAAAAAAGCATCCAGATGCGTCGGTTTCGCCGGCGGCCATACGAGTAAGCACTTGGGTGTTTGGGTGTGGCAGTCGTGTGCCGCTGCCGGCTAGGCCGGAAGCGGAGAGGGCGGTGGTGGCGCCAAGGGCTCGGCCGCGCGCTCCGCCACCCCTCCTCTGCGCGGAGCGGACGCTAGCGGATCGAGGCCCCGATCGGAGTTGTGTGTCTCTTCTCTCTCCCCACCCCAACGGCACGGCTGGCTGACTGGCCGCCAGCCCGCCAGGACCACCGTTATTCCGAGCCGTCCTTGGGCAAGACCAGTCGTCATCGAGTCTGCGAGTAAGGTTTCTCGGACTGGAAATCTCAACAAGCTCCATCACCCACTCAGCCATTGATCTCTAATCCTAGGCTCGAGCATATCTCAGTTCCGGTAGCTGAGAAGGGAATCGATCATGTTTTCTAGTCTTCGCTTCTGGCGAATCGTCGTCCAACTCACATCACCCCCACCTCTCCTGCCCAGGCAGCCCCAAGTCCCCGCAAGTGGCGCGCTCCGGCGCTAGATGGCTTGGGAGCTGGCCGCTAGTGGACCGGTGGATCATATCGACATGATCGGATTCGTCCCAACGCTGCATGCTCTGTCGGGGTGGGCAGAGCGTTAGGTTTGGGGTGTCGAATCATCCCCACCTTGAGTCCCCAGACTCAGCCCCATCTCTCCACACTGGTTGTCGTGATAGTGGTCTGTGTGCTCATACGATGACATGAACAGCTTCGAAGGTTGCTGGAGAGGCGTTTCTCAATGGCCGTATGAATTCTTTGTGCTAATGCGTGTGCAGTACGTCATTTCCGCTTGACTCGATGAAGTTACCTCTCCTTGAGAACTAACGTTGCGGTTTCGCTGTTTTCATGTCCGCACGCTGGAGAAAAAATCACCATCAATCCACCAAGATCTCGATAGTGATCATGGCATAAGATTTGCAGTCGTTGGGCGCCTTGCGCTGGTCAACAAGCATGGACCCAACTGGTTCTGATGCCGAGTCAACACCATCGGTGGCGCCAATCCCGCACACGAGCAAGCCGCAACATCCGTGGGGTGTTTTGTCGATCTCCGACGGTTCCTGTCAGCTTTTGACAGATGAGGTTCCGTAATATCGCTCACCCAGCAGCATGATTCGCCAGAACAGTTTTCTAGAAATCTTCGACTCGTTGCGATGGTACGCGCCATTTCCTGTCAGGTGCGCCAAGTAGCATGACCAGCAGCCAAGCGGTTTGGTTCCGCCACATTTCATTGGCTTTACAACATCTATCCGAAGTCTCCCCCTCAGGACGGGCTGGGGCCTCGTCAAGCCCCGCACCAGGATTGCTTCCACACATCACATGGTCCGCGATGCTCTTGTGGCTCTTTCTGACCTCAATGGCTGCGCACTATGTCTGCCGCCAAGGGCTTGTTGCTGGTGTTGTAAAGCGCTGGCAGCTTCATAAATGGGGCTCGTCCGCCTCGATTGCTCCACCAGTATGTTCGGCATCCGTCTACGCCTTACAGTGACTACATTACAAATTTCAAAGGAGCGCATCAAAGTCAGAGTCGACAATGGGCTTTGCTCTCAAGAAGCCAGACGACGTGGCCGGCGCGTCATGGTAGGACAATGGAGCTCAACCCACGCCGAGTCTATGACTGACCTCTATAGGCCTGCCATTGCCGTTGGTTTATTCGTGGCCTTCGGTGGTGTCCTCTATGGCTACGATACTGGAACCATTTCTGGTACGCTCGGTTGTCTGGCCGAATTTCCTTTTCCTAGCTAATGATTTATTAGGAATCTTGGCCATGTCGTATTGGAAGAAAGAGTTCTCGACTCAACCTGATGGCTCGATCACTGCGGCACAAGACTCTCTGATCGTCTCGATTCTGTCTGCGGGTACTTTCTTCGGTGCGCTATTTGCAGCCCCGACTGCCGACTACCTGGGCCGTCGCATCGGCCTGATGGTCTCCGCCATGTGTGTATTCAACCTGGGTGTCATTCTTCAGGCCGCATCCTCCGGGCAGTCAATGTTCATCGCCGGCCGTTTCTTCGCTGGTCTCGGTGTTGGTATGGTCTCGGCTATGAGTAAGTTCCTAGCCCCAACAACACCGTTCATCCCGCTCACTGCAATACAGTTCCCATGTACCAATCTGAGACCTCTCCAAAATGGATTCGCGGCACCATTGTCGGGGCGTACCAATGGGCGATAACTATAGGTTTATTCCTGGCTGCGATTGTCAACAACTCCACAAAAAACCTCAATGACTCTGGCTCGTATCGCATACCAATTTCTATCCAGTTTGCGTGGGCTTTAATCCTCTTCTTCGGGTAAGAGCATTCTGCTATTTATTAAGGTCATTGCTTGTCTGACATAGTTTTACAGCCTGCTCATCCTGCCCGAAACCCCGCGATTTTTGGTCAAGAAGGACAAGAAAGACCAGGCTGCCAGGGCTCTTTCGAAGCTCCGTCGTCTTCCTCAGGATCATCCTGCTGTTGTCGAGGAGATGTCCGAAATCGTCGCCAATCACCACTACGAAATGAGCCTCGGCAGCGCCAGCTACGTTGATTGCTTCAAGGGCACTGTCGGCAAGCGCCTTCTCACTGGATGTTGTCTGCAGTCGTTGCAGCAGCTCACTGGCGTCAACTTCATTGTGAGTTTCTGTGTTTGTCGTCCAAGCACTTGGTTTGCATGCTAACCGCGCCAGTTCTACTACGGCACGTCCTACTTCCAAAACGCCGGCTTCCAGAACCCATTCATCATTCAAGTCATCACCAACTGCGTCAACGTCGTGTCGACCATACCTGGTAAGTGCACCTTTTAATACTGTTATGATAACAAACTAATTTTCGATAGGTCTTTATCTCGTGGAAAAGATGGGTCGGCGGAACCTACTGCTAATGGGCGCCATCGGGATGTGCGTCTGCCAGTTTATTGTTGCTATTGTGGGCACCGTATCCGGGACGAGCGACCTAGCGGCGCAGCGCGCGGCCATCGCCTTCGTCTGCATCTACATTTTCTTCTTTGCCAGCAGCTGGGGCCCCGTAGCATGGGTGGTGACGGGCGAGCTGTTCCCGCTCAAGGTGCGCGCAAAGTGCCTGTCGATGACGACGGCGAGCAACTGGCTGCTAAACTGGGCCAGTAAGTGACCCCTTCCCTCCCCTATTTTCCCCAAAAACCAAGAACGATTACTATCCACTATCCACTACCACGCGTCAAAAAGACAGCAAGCTAACGCCCCTCCACAGTCGCCTACAGCACGCCCTACATGGTCGACCCGGAGCACGCGAACCTGCAGTCCAAAGTCTTCTTCGTATGGGGTTCCTTCTGCTTCGTATGCATCGGGTTCGTGTGGTTCATGATCTACGAGACGAAGGGCCTATCGCTCGAGCAGGTCGACGAACTCTACGGCGTCGTGACCAAGGCCTGGAAGAGCTACGAGTTCCGCCCGCAGGTCAGCTTCCAGGAGGTCGATGAGGTGGCGACCAAGCACGGCCCGGGCGGCCGCAGCCTGAGTATTAGCGAGGCCGCGCAAGAGGTCCACCGCAAGAAGAGCGTTACTGCTACCGCTGTTACGGCGGAGAAGCTGTAGGGTGTCGTGCTGGTGCGTGCGGGGGTGGGGTTAAGTGCGCGTTGACTTGGGCTTGGGGTGGCGTGTATGATGTGATATGATATGTAATTTGTAAATGTATGGGATGGTTGTGGTCTGTCACTGTCATGCTTGTATGGAGTAGAAACAAAATATCTAGTCAGCATAATTATTATATACGCTACTCTAAAACCTCTACGCTTATATCTCTAACCCTAGGCTTATAGTTAGATAAAGAGTATTCCGTAGAGACTATTTATTTCCTTCTCTATCTCTCTCGCTAGCCGGCGAGTCTCGCTTAACGGTAACGGACATTATGTGTAGATTAAAGTCTATAAAAATATAAAACTAGATTAAAATAAGGCTTGGATAGGCTCTAGGGTTATTAAGGTCTTTAGAGGAGTTACTAAAATAACCTCTAAGAATAAACCTATTATACTTATATATTAATACGTACTAATAATTTTATATTAAAATCTTCTTAGAGACGCCTTAGATGTAAAGACTTTAACTATATAAAGATTTAAATAGTCTGCCTGCTGTCCCTAAACTAGATAAGGCGATTCTGTTCATCATCATGCCTATTGTAGCTGATAAGCAGTTATATACACGGCACTACTCGGCACTGTTCCACGAAATTGTAAATATATAAGAAATAATATCCCCTCTAGCCGCTCTTCCGCTTCCTTAACTAAGGGCCGGGAGTGAGTTGGGCGTGAGCTTTAGGGCTACAGTGTTACTGTGTGGTATCGGTGCGTTTATTGCGAAGCATAAGTAACACTTCGTAGCGGAGGTGTGGTTGCGTTGTATGCTGTATCAGCTTGACGAAGTCTTTGTTTGGGTTTGACATGGGGTTGTTCCTGGGTGACGCTAAGTGGGGGTGTTTGCGCATGGGTAAAGTGGGCTAGGTTCTTAAAAAGTTGGATTCGTCACTGTCGACGAGCTTCGCTTGGACGAGCAGGAGCTGTAGGTTTTGAGGCTCTTGTGGTTGTGTGGAGCCATGATGTGTCGGAAATGATGAACTGAAAGTGGAAATTGGTTTTTGTGGATCCATCCAGCCGTGATTCATGGAAACGGCTAGGTTTTCTCAAGTAGGAAGTTGTTTTCGAGAGACAGTCTCAAAACTCTTTTAGGGCAAACGCGGAGGTTCTGAATCCAGATTCCAGACTTAAGAAGTATCCTCTAGTATTTATAGTTATCGTTTTGCTCACCCATTTGCAGGAGTATGCGATGGTTACAGTGGAAATTTTCAGGTGGAACAATCAACATCGACATCACACAACCCGTCGTATAGTTCTTCCTTATGCAGCTAAGCACACCCTCTCTTCTCCCACCACTACTAAGCCACCGCCAACGTCCCTCAACCCCGCTTTAGTCACCAAGCCAACTTTCTTCAGCTGCATAAACTACACGCCTAGAGCTGCAAGCGGGGCCGAGCCGTGCCGCTCTTAGTGCTCACTGTTGTTGATAGTAACACATAGACGTCGATGTCGCACCGGCTGCCCTCATTCCTTATACATCATACCATCATCAACGCCTCCCAACCCCGCATTGAAGATCAACACAGTTTTTCTCAACATATACCCCACAAACTCACATCTGCACGCGAGCGGGGTCGCTCCCAACAGCCCACAATAACTACTAGACATGCACTTCACCAATTACTCCATCTCTAACGGGTCTTTATCTACATCGAATACGGCATCTTCACTCGAAAAAAGAAGAGAGGAAAAGAGCTGTTTAGGACGAGTAGACGGCAGGGTAGAGGAAATCGCTCGCTTCTGCAGGCTTGGTTTAGTGTGCCAGTGCACTTTCCATCAGGCTGGCCATCCACGTCTCAGGATAGACTGTTCACTATGTATGTGCTTGGTTGTGTGACTGACTTGCTGACTGGCTTGCTGAGTGTAAGGGTGGGGATTCGAAGGAGCGGCATTTAAGAGAGGGGAAGAGGGACTGAAGAACTAATATGGATATGTAGTTGTAGATGCACATGCAAGAACATACATTCATAGATACAGACGTATTGTATAGTAGACCATGTATGTCGGTTAAAAGATGTAGAATAGCAAAGTAGGTAGACAAGCACGGTGACAACACTCGTAGCATTCAATTTTGTTTACCGAACGTTATTCGATCGAAGCACATAAGCAGGCCCTCACAAACGACTGAAAGAAAAAGAAACCGTACACTACTAGCGGAGGTAGAGACTGGGTTTAGACAGTGCAAGGAAAGAAGTTTGAAAGGAATTCAACAGATCGAAACCCGCTGCTTCATCACTTTCCACTGTAGCCTATCACAACCGCAATCGGCTACAACTTCACCAACAGGCTCTCCTACAACTCCAGCTAATCACCCTGCAAGCGAAGTTCGTCGACAGTGAGGACACCATCGCCATTCCTGTCGTGTCTGTTTCAATCAGCACCAACAACGCAGTGTTCAATGCTCGCAACAGCCATTCAGGAAACGTAAGATCGGACAAAAAGAAACCAATGAGCTTACCTGTAGAACCAGTTCACGTAAACAGGATCATTAATCGCCACACCCATATACTCCGAGTACTGGCGCAGGGTAAGCTCGCCAGTGTCGACGCCCCTGGCACGTTCAAAAAGTTCGGCGTCCGACGCCCGTTCCGTATGCAGACGCGAAAGCGTGAATCTGTTGAGGGAAGTACTTTGGCGACATCCTATAGCGCGTAAGTATACACGTTAGTGCTCTCGGTAAGAAGGTACTAAGGGTGGGAGATGAGGGTAGGTAGATAGAGGTATGTAGATAAGGGGCGAGAGCAGGTAGGATACTCACCGTTGTCACAATTGCAGCAAAAGATATTACAGGGCCCATAGGCACAGCACGGGGTTGGGCGCGACCCGTCTCCACAATATCCGGGATCAAATGGGGGAGGGCCGGGTTTGACTGGACCGCAGCAGTCGGCCATAGCGACGGGGAGGAGCGTTGCGAACAGTGCAAGTACGGTTGTGAGCTGCATTGTGGGTAGAGTTTGGTGGAGAGAAGGGAGTAACGAAGAAAGCAGGCTTTGGTGGAGAGGGAGTAAACTTGCTCAATGCGCTTGCTTTGACGAGCTTTTATATCTCACTCCCTCTCGCCCATCCATTCTCCTCCTACTCCAAACACTCACTGTGCAACCCCGTGAGCGGGGTAGCGTCGCTCTAAACTGCCCTAGATAACAGCACATCGATGGTGCCGCCCATCGCTTACTTCTTCATTGTGTGGCACCAAACAAGCAACATTTTCTGATTATGCGTTTGATTCGGTGTTGTGAATCCTTGTCTGCAGTAGTACATACTAGAATTACAAGGGTGCCATATGGTATAGCCAGATTGTTACGATTTATATTCACTGTTTTTTATATATAGATATCAAAGGAAGTTAGCGAACGAGAAGAGCTTCAATATTATGTTAGTAAGATAACCCCGTTACTGCAAAAAAGAATGAGCGACGTTAGGCGGATGTCGAAGTGTAAGTTTTTACTTTTTTTTTTTTTTTTTTTTTTTTTTTTTACAACAATTATACGGTTAACTAAGTACGCGCTCTCTTATACCACCACCATCATCAAGCCAATACTAACAACCACTCAGCCACTAGCCAAACCCCGCTCTTCTCACGCGCATACCCGGCACATCTACACTCCTGAGCGGGGCCAGACCGCTTCTAGCAGCCTACAGCCAGCAGCTATAGTAGCACATTGACGTCGACGGCGGCGGCGATGCCGCCGATACAGCCAGCCAAACCCCCGAAACATTTCTTTTGGCGCCTTTCTTCCGCCATCACCGTTACTACAAACTAGGTTCTCGTAATAGCTCCGCTTCAACGCATCAAAGTACCTCACCTCTTCTTATCCGCATACCCGGCATGCTTGTACCCAAAAGTGTGACCAGATCGTTTTTCCAGCGTTCAACAGCATTTGTTCCGATTGTGGGGAAGTGGGGAGGAGTGTGGGGAAGCGAGCATTGAAGTGTTTCACGAGTGACACAGGGAAAAGAAAAGAAAGACAAGCGAACGAAGCGAACGAAAAAGGAATATTAAGGAGAGAAAGAGGGGAAGAGCATGAAAATAAAGAGACATAAACACAAACAAACAAGATACAAAAAAGCCAACCTTGTCGCCAAAGCAGTACAGCGCAACACCCAGAAGGCAGGTCACCACCACCACGCTCTCCATTCCACCAGCACCCAACCCTTCTCAGAGCCCCCGTCCACCGAACCGACCTGCAGAAGCAAGATACGCTCGCCGGGCACGTACACGTACACGTAACAGGCAGGCAAGCTAGCGCGCTTCGAAAAACCGGAGACAGCTACGAAGCAAGCAGAGCAACGGCGCACAAACCCCACACGCATACACCTGCACAGCAGCAGCAGTGCCTCCCCCCACATTCCACCAGATCCGAGCTTACTTCCTGCAGCTAGATACGCGGCACGCGGGAGGCGCGTTAGCTGCGTGCTACATACAGCCAACGCTAACCCCACGCCACCCCCACAGCTATAGCGCGTGTACATACGCATACACCCGTTTTACGCACACACAGCCTCTACCTGCCCACGCAGCAGGCATACAACTACCTGCCTGTCTCCCCCACCCGTCTTTACCTAAACAGCTACTAACAATCCCCCGCGCACTACTAGTTATGATAACATATCTACTAACAACCCTTTCAAGCCGTACATACAAGGACGCGAGTGTACGATATACGAGACAGAGACTTATCCCTCTACTTCTTTTACTTCTTCCCCTTCT